AAAATGTTACCTCTTCTGAACTGAGTAAGGGAGAGAATAGGAACTTTCTGGGGTACAAAGCTAATGATGTCTTGGCTGATTGAATTTGTGTCATCTGTGAATTCCTAAGACTGTATTCAAAGAAGTTATCTCTTAGATGAATTTAGATGATTCCTTTACAACACAAGTTTCCAATTACTACAACTGAATTCAAGATCTGGAATATTCCTCTAGTGGCTGTAATCAAATCAGGTTTGATTTCTTTAGCTGCAGCCAGTCGAAAAAGAATTTAGCAGACCTGAAAAACAGCTTACATATTAAGAAAACTTCAGTGTCTTTAGATAGCTTGCCTATTATTTCTTTTTTGTTGCAGGCAGGATACACATCAAGAATGAGTGAAGCTAATGCTCATATGCACCAAAGTGAGTATTGACTTAGCAGCAAAATGGAGGAGGAATTGCTCTGTCATGGCTGAGCCACAGCGAAATGTTAAAGAGGCACTGAATTTCTCCAGATGTGCAGTAAAAATGCTCTGCAAAAGGCACTGGTCAGATTGAGAGGGCATGGCAAAGAAAGGTCACTACTTCACCTACATAAAAACGTGAGCAGGTGGCCTTTGCCTGTAGCAACTAGTACATTCATCAAGAAAGCCAAGAGCTCAGCCCAATTGTGTCTTTGCACATCAGGAAAGAGCAAGATGCTCAATAAGACAGGATCAACAAAATCATTGTGGCCTTTTTCGAAAGCAATAGATATTAATGAATGGGAACTTCTGGGCAACTTTTTTTCCCTGCTTTAAAGTAGAAAGATTAGATGAAAATGTATTTTGTGAGGAGTGTGCTGACACCCTCAGGTAATCTCCATCCTCTGTCCTCATCAATAATCTAGCACTCTACCTTTCCCTGTTACATTACTGTCTGCAGTAATCCAATTCACTTCGGTCCCCTTAGATCCTATTAGAATCTCTCACAAAATTCTTCCAGCTCTGCTCTATAGTGTTCTGGGATTATTTAGTCTTAACTTCTGCTGCCTGTTTTCTTCTACTACAATTCTTTGCACAGGGACCGACTTTTGTGGATTGCACATTTAACCTCACAGTGAGTCAGAAGATCAAAATTAATGCAAGGGGGTATTGTCCAGTGGGGTCCCCAGAGCACCCTAATTCTGTTTGGAACATTGTTGAATACATCTTGTGATAACAAGTTCCAAAGTACTTTCTTCAATCAGTTTTGATTTTGTCGTCTTTTAATTTCACTGCATGTGTACTTTGAAAGGATAAATAGGCATGGGCAAACAGAAGAACTTATTTCTACATATTATTCAGTCCCCTATGTACCTCTTTTGAATTACATCTTATTTTTCTCCTCTCTAAAGTAACACAGTCTTAATGTTTTGTTTGTTTGCCTTTCTAATGTGGAAATCTTACCATATCCTGTAATTTATTGCTGTTATTTGAGCAGATGCCTTCCTGGAATTCTCTTCAGTTATTAATGGTAAGTCAGTCGTGCTCAGTGATAATATCTAAATAACAGGCTCAATGTGCAGGAACAGAGATGTCTCCTCTGGCTGCCTGGGCAACATCAGGGGCTCAAAATAGGTAGAAATGAACCTCTGACAATATTCCTAAGAACTGCAGCACAGGGTGGCAAAATGTGGAAAGCTCCTTTCTTCCCTTCACTCTGATTGCCAGGATGACTGTGAAATATCACTTTGCACCCGGCGTTCTGCTTCCTAAGAAATGGAGAAAACCATTCCTGGCTTCTTAGCTGAAAGTGAGCCTCTGACAATCTCAGTGATGTTAGGCTTGCTCTCTGATCTCCAGCCTGATCTGATCTAATTCTGTCTAATCCCTAGTATTTTTTAGATTCTGAACTGTACAATACTCACTGTTTGCAAACCTCACCCTTCCTATTTTTCCCACTTTACCTATTTTGTACCATTTTTCAATGCACTGAATCTCCTGATGCCTGACTGCCACAAGAATTCCAACAATATGATATAAATCCTGTGGTAAATATCTTAAACCAGTGTGACATCGATCTTTTGAAAGTTACTTCTAGTTTGCAGTGGCAGAAATAAGAACAAAATTGAGTATTTTGATGACATCACAGCTCTTCTGTAGCAGCCATTTTAGAGGGCCCAGAGGACAGGAGAAGCTGAAGTCCATAACTAGAGTAGATTGTAAAAGGAAAAATAACACAATGCAGAGAAGTCATTCAGAGTCTTTTAATACATGGAACTAAGTATAAGTAGTATTACAAGAAGATTTACTGCTGTAAAAGCAAAGGAATTCATGTGCTTTCACAGCAGGGAAATTTTGCAGCAGTTAAAATCTCAGATCTGTTACAGGAGCAAGCACTTTTTTTGTCATTTTGGTTAACAGTTTTTTCTTATTAGAAATGAATTTTTAGTAAAAGTCTGTGTTTTCCCTCATTGTCACCCAGATTCCTGCATTACTGTTCCTGCAGTGCAAATGCAAGTGTAAATCATGCATTTAACAAAAATGAGAAGGTCCAGCTGGGTCTCACATTGCTGCAGAAAGGGCTGGAGAGGGAAGCACTGCAGCAGCAGCAGCCTTCCTTCCCAAGGCCCAGCAGGGAGAAGGGGATGAAACTCTGCAGACCAGAAGGTTTGCCAGGGAAAGGCACTGAAATTCATCACTGCCTTATCACTTTGGAGAAGCTTTCTGTCCTGCCTTGTTCTCCTTTTTCAAGGGCTATAAAGTACTTCTGTTCCAGGGCACTGCACATGGATATTAAATTCTCATCACAAACATGATACCATTTTTGATTTCAGCATTTATCTGTCTTCTGTTCTTATATGGCCACACTTACCATAGTATCTCATACTTCACAATCTTTAACACATTATTTAACACTCTCAAAAGCACATATATGAAAGGTAGCTGAAAATAAGCAATAAACCATTTCAATACTGTTACCATCTGAAGCTATGGATCTGTGAGAATTTTCTTCTCATTAACTCTGGGATGCTATTCATAACCTTGAGACTGATAATGCTTAGAAAATTATTTTATCCAAGAGTAAGCCCCTCCTTAATATATGTAGTAGAAGTCTACAGAGAATTCTCCAGGCCCTAAACACAGAACCCTTTGCTAAAACAAACAAAACAAACAAACAAAACAAAAAACCCAAACAAAAAAACTCTAAAGCAAAACAACCCAAACCACACCCTAAAAAAGACGCAAAACTACCTAAACAGAAATAAACAGAGCTGCTACAGAAGTCACATTAATGAAAACAAGCCCCTGCCTTTCCAATCCTTTATTTGTTTTAAAAGATTAGTATCAAGTATTAGTAGCAACAACATTTAATCCATCTATAGATTTCACTTTTGTCTGCACTGGCCTATTATGTTCATTGCCATTTCCTTTAAAAAAAATAAGCAAAACCAAAAAACAAAGACAGAAATCAAAGCATTTTCAGAATGCTGTTTCTTTCCAGATCACTTAACATGATTTTTATTTGAAATTGTAAAATTAAAATAAAAAAAAGCCAAGGGATATATTTGAGCCACTGCTTTCTTTTGGAAGCAATTAAAATTTTCTGTCCTCTCTACAGCTGTACTTGAGAACTTGAAAAGAATATTTAAAGCCCAAAATCCCCTCAAGGTCTGAGGCTGAAATAACCTACACTTGCTAAGACAGAAATCAGACTATTTTGGTGTTGGATGGGATTGCAAATAATCTGAAAACAACTAAGCAGCAGAGACATTGGGGAATATCCTCGATATGACCAAAATGGTGAAGATCAAGGCCATAAATCGGAGTTTGTGGGAGGATAGGAATAAACAGTTTCAGATATGAGCATGCAGACAAGCCTTCAAAGATGGAATATACCCTGTGCACTGTGTCTCACCCACAGAGGACATTAAAATGGGATACTCGAGTCAAAAGGGCCCAGATGACCACAACACGATGCAGGCATCAAAGTGTATCAAAATTGAAACAAAATTACATCAAAAGAATAAAAGAAAAAAAAATGGAAATCGAGTGCTTTTTAGCTACTTAAGCCTGGAGATGTATAAAACCTGGTTGAGACCCCTCTGCTGCAGAGAAGGCTCTCTCTGCACCTTTCTGCAGGAGGACCAAGAAGCAGCAGGAATCTGGCATATCAAGAAGCTACAGAAACCTGACAATTCAAGAAGCTGGAGGAATCTGACACATCCTGAGCTTCACGTTCCTCCTGGATGCCCCAAAGCAGCCCTGTGACCTGTCTGATTCTCTGTCCCACACTGGACACCTGAGCTCTCACACCAGTGCTCCACCATCCATCACTGGCACTGTCCCACCCTCAGGAGGCAGAGGCTGGAAATTGTATTTTATCTACTATTTATGGTACTTTATTTGCTATTTATGGTACTTTTAAAATCTACTAAGTATGGTACTTTTTGGTACACTCCAGCAGCTTCAGAAAGCCCTGTGGGGAGTGACAGGACGAGCCGGCCTGAGGTCAGAAGGTGGAAGAACCAGAGAAGGTTGTAGGATGAGCAGGGATGAGGGACAGGATTAGCAACAGGACAAGAGGACGTACTCTGAAAGGGCGCCAGGGGTTTAGGTTGGAAATTGGGAAGAATTTCTTCATAGAAAGGATCATTACACGTTGGAACGGGCAGCCCACGGCGGTGGTGGAGCCACAGGCGTTTAAGGCTAGATAGGACGTACCACTGTCTAGTGGTAATCGGCCATAGGTTGGACACGACGATCTCAGAGATCTTTTCCAACCTGACTGATTCTGTGAGGGCAGGAGGCCCTGGAGGGCAGTGAGGGGCTGAGGGGAAGGGGACATGGGAGCTCTGGGGACGCGTGTGGGCAGGGCCACCATAGGATCTCATCCTTCCAGCACGATGGCGCTGTGCGCAGGGCGGGCCGGGCACGGAGACTGGGAGGGAGACAGGGAGGGAGGGGAAGCCGGCCCCGAGGAGGGCGGAGCGGCCGCCGCGGGCCGGACGCGCCCCGGTTACCGTGACAACGGCGTCGGCCGAGCCCGAGCAGCCCGGACCCGGCAGGCCCCGCTGCCCGCCCGCCCATGCCGCGGAAAGCGCTGCGCTGCGTCCTGCAGCTGGAGCTCCGCTCGGTGAGTGCCCGGGCCGCGCTCCCCGCCCGCCCCAGCCAGGCCGCGGCCGGCAGGAGAAGCCGCGCTGGGCTCTTCCGGCAGCGCTTCCCGCCCCGCTTTCCCCGGCCGGCCGCCGCCCGCGCTCCCGGCCCGGCGGAGCTTCTGGGGGCTGCTCCGGGCCCTGCTGCCGAGCGGGGCCGAGCTCCGTCTGGCATTGCAGCCCCTGTGTGCAGCCCCCGCGGCGGTGTTGGCAGCGGCCGTGCCCCTCCGCAGCTCCCTTCTCCTGTGCAAACTTGTGGGGGATGTTTGTCCCCGTGCCCCCGCCCTTCCGCTGGTGTTAGCGACAACCGTGCCGCTTTAGAGTTCTCATTCTCCTGTGGAAAAGGGGTTTTTAAACACAATGATTCTTGGGAAGCTGTAGGGTGTAGGGAAAAGCACTCCCAGGGGGAAAAAAGAAAGAAAAAAAAGCTAAAACCAAAACAAGTCCCAGGAAAGAGCGTCTTGCTCATGGCTCTGGGCAGCTCTGAATATCTGGGTGTTACATGGCGGGGAGTGTGGTCAGAAAGTGTGAAAGTGGAAAGTTTTGACATTAATTATGTTAGGATTGTATTCTGCAAAGTTTTCTGTGTTCTGGGAACACAGCAAGAAGCTGTATCATCTCCTGAACACTTTGCAGAATTAGCTGTGTTAGGCAGTGCCCTGTTACCTTGGAGTCGGTGGCTCCATATTCCCTCGTCCTGTAACCCAGAACAAGCAATGCCATACATAAAAGAATACCTGCTGCTGAGAGGAAAACACGAGATGCCATCCACAAAACTCGAGTGCAGATCCAGGAAGTTTATAAAGTCTATACTGAGAAATTGCCCAGGTATTCCTGGTTGCTTAGCTACCCTTGTTCCCAAACTTGAGTGGCTGCTCCGAGGCAGAGCTGTGGATTTCCACACATGGATGGCCAGGGTGTCACCCTGGCGCTGTTGCCTTGCTGTCTCAACAGCTGGTGTTTGTCTCCACAATGCCAAGGCCTGCCTGGTTCCTGGAGCAGAGCAATGTCCTTTCCTTTCATGTTCCCACTGGCTGTGAGCTATTCCTGTGCCAGGATTGAGTACAGGGAACACATTTCCACAGGGTCAGGTTTGCAGGCGTGGGGTATTTGTTGTTTACCCTGCTCTCAAGGCTACAGGTAAGAATGGAGACTACTCTTACACAAATGTCAACACTGGCTTTTCATTTAAGGATTTTTTTTCCTTGGTGTTTTCTCACTTGATATGTTTTTTGGGCAGCAGTTCTTTCATTTCCCAGTTGATCTTTTTCAGCCAAAGCATGATATTTTTGGTCATATTTTGTGTGATGGACTCACCAGCCTTCTAACCATCTTAGGGATGGGAGCTACTCTTCCACTTTGAATTTGCATTGATCAGAGTCAAAATTGAACCCTAATTTTGAACCCTAAATTTTGTCTTAGGTGATGTAGGGGAAAAAAAAGTCCAACTTTCATCCTATGTATCTTAATATGAGTCAGGGTCATTAAAAATGTTAAAAGACATGAATCCCAGTATACAGAGAAGAATGTTTTTAGTGTTAACCTCAGCTTGATACCTTCTTGTTTTTGCACATTATTGATGCTGTCCTTTGGCCAGTTCTGCACCGTCTTTGATACTAATTATTCTTACATTTTTCATCATAAATAATAATTCCTCATGATACTGTATGATATCCTTTATCCAGAAAATGAATTTTCAAGAAAATGTATAATTTTTCTTGGTTGATCTGTTTTTATGGAATGTGTTGTACTGGTTTTTTTTCTGGTGATCTTTTCATCCATCTCTTTATTCTTTATTTTTGAATATTTAAATATTTTGATTGATGGAGTTGTGAGTTTTCAGATATCTCTTTCTGTCTCACACGGATTTTTGAGCAGATTCTACCTTCCCTGTTTTCATTACATTTCATTTAAGAAAAATTACATTCTTTCACAACATTGCTGAAGATGGTTCAGCCTCCCTGTGGCTCCTTCGTCCAGGCCTAGTGCATATTGAATGACTTTTGTTTCCATCATTTAATTCTTGGAGTTTTCTTTTTTCTCCTATGTCAAATTTTATTAAAACCAAGGCAAAATATTCAGTTATGTTTGGGACATAGATTTGTTAGCTTTCACATCATGGCTGATTTACGCGATGTCCATTAATTCTCTCTCTGTTTGCTTTATTTGTGACCAAAGCCTTGTCCAAATTTCTGATTTATTTTCCTGCCGTTTTTACAGTGCTCTACATATTTCTCCACCCTCTTTGAAATCTGTCCAGTTTTGTCAGAAGTTCTGCCCTCTGTTTTACCTTTTCTTTAGGATACTGATGGGTTTTGGTTCCTTTGACTTAATGAAATTCCAAGATCTTCTCCAATCTGAGTCCACCAGCTCTTTAGTTTGTCTTGTTAGTAGTTTCCTTCATTTCTCCTCTCAAATGGAAGGCCTTACTTAAAGATTAAGTAGTTCTTTAGTTTGGTTTATCCTGCCATGGACTGTGTGTAATAAGTGCTCTAGAAGGTTAAGATCAGTAGAATTCTGTCCTTTTCTGTGAGCTTAATTAAGTGATTTCTTTATGGCTATTTATGATGTCCCAGCAGTGGAGGGACTGGGGACTGGTTACACATTTTCCATCCTCCTGGGAACTTTCAGCAGAGATATCCAGCATAACCCTGTCCTAGAAATTTCTCATGGTCCTTGGGGTTGCATGTGAGGTCAGTTAATTGCAGCACTGATCTCCCTCTTCCCTAGCTGATCCATAGATAACACTCTTACCTTCTTTAAAATAGTCCCTCATCCTGCTGGAGCAGTCTGCAGTCAGATAAGAGCTTCAGTTTGTCTCCCAAGTGTTATGGAGCTCTGCATGTTACAGAATAGGTGTCATGAGCTGCAGGTATGCATGTGCCATTCATTTTTGGAACTGCTTTAATGTTACATGGCCACATATATTTGGTGTTCCAGCCCAGGTGATGAATTGTGCAGTTTATCTCCAGGGTAGTAGAATCACAAGTTTCCACATGTGCTACCTTGACCCACATGCTCATTTGTAAGAATTTGTTTTCTTTTAACTGGATAACCAGAAAAATGGCACCTGTTGTTGGCAGGTTTGCCCCTTCCAGCATCTTCAGATCTCTTAATAAACAGGCAAACATTGATTCCCTTCTCTAAGGTGAAAGGCACAAAACTCCAGCTTAAAATGGTTGTAAATTCTACAAAAATATCGAAGACAAAAGTGAGAAGTAAAGCTGATACGACTTGCAGGATGTAGTTTGGGGATCTTTCCTTGTATGAATGAAATCTGTCTCTCTCACTCCTGTTCACACTTGCAACTGCATGAGTGTCATACAAGCTGTTTAATGCTTGACAGACTGTTTCAATTGGGTTATCCATTATTCTGGCACTTTTCTTGTAGATTTGAAGCCCTCATTTATATGGAGAGGAAACCCTTTTTTTTTTCTTTTACTTTATCTGTAGTGATCTATCACATATTGTTTTCTTCTAGTTCTTCCACCTTTTTAACTGCTGTTTATATAGTTTTCTTTTAAATCCAGTTAGGATTTCTCAAGTAAAATGTTCACTTGGGAGTAGGAGACTGTAACCAAACCACTTATTTTAATTCCCATCACTCTCCTCCTTTGTCTTTCTTCCTGGCAATTGAAAGTCTGAACACTTTCTCCAGAAACCTTATGCTGGAAGAGACAACCTCATGTTTCTAATACTGACAAAAAATGAGCATGAGACCTTAAGTGAGGTGTCAATTAAGGTGTCAATTCTCTGTCAGGGAAATAAAATAAATCCACGTGGCTCAGAGAAAGTAGCAAGTAGTTTTGGAATGAGTTGTGTACATTCTTGCAATCAGTGCTTTAAAAACAGACTGACTTCTTAGTCAAAGAATTTCAGAATTGTGCAGAGAAAGTTGAGAGATTTGGGGCAGTATATGGCAGCCTAGTGAGAAGCCTTCCCTGCTTTGAGTTTAAAGATGGCCAGACTTCCCAGAGAAAGGAAGAAATGTGTCTGGTACTATTGGAACAACAGTTGCTTTTTCTCATTTACAGACAATTTGCAAATAAACTTGCCTTTTCTGGTGGCTGGACAGAGTATGGATATCTAAGCACATAAATTTACCAGTTTCATTCTGTAGTTAGGCTGAAGTTTTTGTGGGGTTTTGTGTTTTGGCCTCATGTACACTTCATTCTACATGAGTCTTCATATAGGAGATGATTGTGCCTTTTGTACCTTACACAGTCAGAGCATACCTTTGGCTGTATTAACCAGGCCTTGGGTTTCAGTTTTGGTTGAAGACAATGGAGTGGGTTTACTTAAGCAAGAAGAATTTGGTCCTGATTGTTTTACAATGGTGACTTTTTTCCCTGACCAGTCTGTACAAATAGAATTGCTTTAGGGAAGAATTTTTTTGCTCTTGTCTGTTACATCCTGACTTTCACAAATACACCATTTCAGTCCTGACTGTTTCATTTTTATCTTGAAAACAGCCATTGCTTGTCTAGCTAAAGTTCAGTTTGTTTAATGAGTGTGTTACTCCTACAGATAACTTGTCCTGGAGTGCTGCTGAAAGACAAACAGGAACTTTATCTGAGCGTCTTTGTACTTGGCCAGTACCACAAAACTGAATGTGTCCCTGCAGTGTTCCCACTCTTCTTTCAAGAAAGACTACTATTTGAAAAGGTAAGATATGTCAAGTGCTGATGCAATCCAAATAAACCCCATCAAATTCCATAAAAATTGTCTGCAAAACCCATGAGTACAAATAATCACACTGACAATGGAGAGTATTTGATCTCCTGCTTTTCTTTAGCACTGAGGGTGGGTGTGCCTGTATTATCCACATGGGGACTCAAGAATTGTGTGTACTGAAGATTCTAATGTGTGGTGAGAGTTTTTAGGTGTTTGTTGATTCTTTTGTGAACATGTCCTTCCTCAGTGTCTTTTCCTGGCTTGAAAGGGACTGAATGTTTTTGTTCTAAAAATTGTGGCAAGGTGAAGAACAGAGACTGTACAATATAGGGGAGGCAACTTAATTTAGTAGAAAGATAAAACAGCAGCTCAAGCCTTCTTGGTGACATCTTACTCCCTTTGAGATACTTTTTTCATGGTTTGTCACCAGAATTCCCAGATTGGTACTCTGGCTCTGTAATTTATAGTTGTTTATCACATTTTCTGAGTCCCTACTAGCTTCATTATTAGTACCACAGGGATAATGAAACACAGTATCTTACAGATATGATCTGGCTTCTCCACCACCTATGAATAATAATACTTTGCCCTTTCTAGTTCTTTTCCTTTAAGCATTCCCCAGCACTTTGAAAACCAGGCTGAGTAAACTTGCTCAGAGTGATGCTCTGGTGAAGGGGATGAGAAACAAACAGTGATTATTTCACTACCTATGAAGAGTAGGAAAGACCTTCATTCTTTAAAGGCAAGCATAACACAAACTTCTTAAGGGGAATGTACTGAATGCTGTTTTCATTGTAATGTAGGGACATCCATCCAGTGCAACATCCTCCCCTATTCCTTGCTATCTATTCACATGGGATTCAGGTTAAAAAAAAACCTGAACAAGAGACTGAGAAGTCACCTCTGTGAAAATGAAGCTTAAAACATTACTTATAAATTAGAGAACATTGACCTATCAGAATTGTAATACATGCAGCAAATTATGTTTCTCTCTTGAAATTTTCTTAAGACAGTGCTTACCTTTACATCTTCAACACTTCACAATAAATTATTTTTTGTTCTTCACATATAGAGAAGCAACTCTGTATGGATAGAAAGTATATTACAAGAACTGCTGGCTTTCAATGAATTTGATCATGTTCCAAATGATCATTTTAGTATCCTTTCTTTTTCCAGTAGGGATAGGACTCTTGACAACAATCTTGGCAAGGAAGAGCATTGAATTTTGGGTTTTTTTCCCTTCACTTTCCCAAGAGGTCCATCTGATTACATCTGATTGTGTCATCATTAGTATTACTACTACTATTATCATTTTTTCTTTTTCAGGAATTTGCTAATATAGTTGATCCTGGAGACCTTGTGAAGTTACTGGAGTGTAAGTTCTGGGGTTTTGTATACTATGTTGTATCCATAAATGTCATGTGTATTGCTCTAAAGATGTTTTAGAGGTTTAAAGTATGTGATATTTTTTCTATCAGGAGCTTGTTCTCTGAAAAACTAGTGGGTAACCACTATTATCTAACAAAATGCCTCTAGAAATGCATGTTACATGCTGTGGAACAGGAAAAGGGTAAAAAGTCATAAGTGATTGAAAGTCCACCTGGTTATCTGGTAGTGGGTTCCTTTATATGGTTATTTATTTGATTAATTTTCACATTATAGAAGGATAAACCTGTAATTTTTCTCAAGTCATTCTTGTCATTTTAAGATTATGTCTTGCTACATTTGTATAATGAATTGTGGTGAGAAAACACTGATCTGAACTCAAACTGCAAGAATATGCATCCTCACATGGGAGGTATCTGTAAAGGGGGCAAAGCTTGCATAATCTTCTTTAAAAGAGGAAAAACTTGGCAGCAGAGAGAACTTACAAGTTCTAAGTCAGATTTAGTGTTGTCATTTGTACCCTGCTAATGCCATTGTGTTCATCTATGATATTTATGCAAGCTGTACTTACATTTATCTTATTATTGGTGTGGTGGAAATAGTGCAGGGGTATACAGTGCTGTGAAGTTTAAATCAGTGATTCATTTTTCTTGGGCTTTGACTATGGGAATTTTCATTTTTGATTTTTTTTTTTAACTCATGAAAAAACTTTTTTCCCTTCTAGTTGACACAACAGTACTTGAACTAATACAGCTCATTCCTCCAGGTACTGTATCGGTCTTTTCATAAATTATGCAGTTTAATAGGTGAATTTCCAGGAGGACATTGCCCATTACAGCACAATCACTTTTTTCAACACACAAACAACATAGAAAGCCCTTCAACAAATAGTCCTCTGAATAGAAAATGTTAATAGATCAAGAGGATCTCATTCTTGAAAGGGAATAATAACTGAATATTTAAATGTATCATACTCAGGCTTAGGAAAGTGATAATATTTTAAAAATGGAAAATAAACTGAAATCATCCAGTGCATAATTATTAACTGCATCACAATTCACTTCTGGAGAGGCTGTCTGTGAAATTTCAGAGTGCATAATCTTGTTCTCAGAGTGACACTTTTTTTCCTTCCATTTTAATGGTGACCACTGGGAAAACTCTTATCCTCACTATAAGTATTACAGGTCTCTTGGGATGTGTGAAGATAATAAATAGCGATTTGTCATACTTCTGTTATTGGTTTGTGTGATTATAAAAATCTATTTTAATGAAATTCAAGTGTTCCCATGAATAATGTAAATCTGCACTTTATTGGAAATAAAGTCAAGTTTTAAAGAGGACTCATTTGGAAACTGTGGTATTAAAAGCACTCTCTCACTTTTCCTTAGCACTTTCAAGGAAACTGCTGCTTCTCTCAGGTGACTTACCAGACTGCTTACTTGAAGACATGTAGCGAATGGGGATTTTTTTTTGTGGGAAGTAAAGAATCTTGCATAAGAATTTATTTTCAGGGCTCAGACATAGCTGTGATATAGCCCAACATAAGATAGCAAGATGGCTGCAATAGCACAAGTTACATTTTTTCACAATATACATTGAAGGGTTTACCTCTAAAGAAAAACTTTTTTTTTAAGAAGTAGCAAGACAGGGTATTGAGAAAATCTTGAAATAATTATTTTGCTGTTGCTTGTGGTTTTTCTACTGCTACTATTACTGTCCTGTATTATGGAATGGTAGTTTTTTCTTAAGGAATTTGGTGCCATTAAAAAATACTGATTTTTTTTCTGTGGCATGGAAGAGAAAGAAAGAGGAAAAGTACTGAAAAGTTACCTGAAGAAAACCTTTCATGTAACTGTTATAGAAGAGTTAACACAATCTTCTTTAATTTTTTTCCCAGTAACATTGAATCATCATTTCATAGTAGATTCTGCACATTTTTGCTGCTGATTTAACTTGATGAGGTTATTTCCTAGTGCTATAGGAGATTTAGAGCCATGCTGTTAATTTGTAGAGCAAAATTTATCCTAGTTTCAACATGGCTCTGTGTGTGGTGTCTGTGCTGTGTGGCTTTGTCTATTTTCCAATTAAAGTATGTATTTTCTTTTTAGTGGGAAAAGTTCTAGCTACATATGAAGAAAATACAAGAGATTTCCTGTTCCCTGACCCTAAGCTTACCCATGGGCTCCGTGGTTTGCAGCGTGAGGTTTTAATGAAGAGGTCCCCGTCTTTCACAGTGAGTGAATGTCTGTGGATTGTATTTATGACACAGTCTGCTTCACTGAAGAAACCCCTTGAACTGCTTCAAATGAAAAGCCATTACTTCTGACAGATTTTGCCATTTTAAGGTGTTGAATGTACAAATCCACAGCTGAACTTCGGGGAAAGTACAATCTTTTTTCAGAATGCTTCAAGAAATTATTTAATGTGGAAAAGTTAGTTTCCACTTGGTTTGCAGTGTGGCACCATGACATGTCTCCATTCAGTTTAATCTGTGATGCAGCTGGTGGCTGAAGGGATGCAGGAGATATCATATTGACTTCATGGTTCTCAACAGAAGCCATGTAACCCTCCTCCTTGGTCCTTCTCCATAGCCTTTTGGAACAATGGCTAATTGGCAGAATGAGTGCAGTGAATTAATGCTAATTTTCTGGAGATAAGGGCTCAAGTACATGTTAAATGAAAATGAATTCATTTCACATTGCCCTTTCATGAAGTTTGACTGTTGAATCTTAATTGTCAGCAGAATAACCCAGGAAGGCACCTTAAGGAGGATGGTGATAATGTGTTTTGAGGTTTTTGTGGAGTTTTACTGGTGGATTGGCAGGACATTTGGATAAGAACTCAGTTAACCCTGTCTGTTGTGGTTGGGCTAAAAGCACATGGGAGGAGGGAAATGCTGATTAAAGTTTATTGTTATCTTTTAGCTGGTGTAGCCTTTCCCCGGAAAGGGCAACCTGGAAACTGCCCCGACTCTTGCAATTAGAGGTGCTAATTTGGTGTCTAATGCAGTGTTACGTTTGAATGAATTAAGGTTGTGATTTTGTGCTACAAAATGTCTGATTCTGCAGTAGCTTATAAACAAAAACAGCTATTATTTTTTGGCTATAGTGTTTCTTTGATATGGCTCACCTCATTCTTGGGGGTGTGGCTCAAGAGATGGGGTGGGACTGTTTTGCTTTCATGCTGCTCATAGAATAGGTGTCTTCCTGGTGCTGAGAAGGAACAGTGAGGTAGGAACAAATGAAGTGGTATTAGCTAAATGTTTTGAGATTTTTTTTGTGAACAGAATATAGTGAGTCTTCATAGAAGCAGAGCTGCTAGACAAGTTTGATGGGTTTTGTCAAACTGAGTTATTTGAAACAAAAATTATGTATTTTCTAATAAAGAGAAGGTGCTATAACTTGTGAGCTGTGAGAAGATGTGGTCAGAGTAATTTGGATGTGTAGGTGATGAATGATGACACTGTAGTAGCTTTAAAAATTTGACTGTGGTAAGACACAGACATACTTCATGTCCTTGGGAGCAGCATAACAAAATCCATCTCTGCCTGGAACTGGGACTGCAGGAGCCTTTGTTGCTCCATTCCATCTCCATAGTTTGAAAGTACAGTGTAAGAGAAGATTTTGGCATAGTGACCCCCTTTTCAGGAATAATGCAGAAGCTGGGTTTGATGGCGTTGGAGGGAGGCTCCCAAAAGGAATTTCTTGTTCCTCTCCTCACTTGCCAAATGGAATAACTATGAAAGGATTTTTACCTCCAGTAGAAATGCAGTCTCAAGTGTCTCCCTCTCCCAGTGTTCCCTGAGCTTTACTGGCAAGTGTCTCTTGCTAAGTCTGTCAGCATGAAGTGCTGGATGTGAATGCTAAGCAAAAGGAAGTGTTGAACAAGGTCATGAGAGCCCTCACATTATTCCTATGCTACTGAAGCCATGTTCTTCCCACATGAAAAGTTATTCATAGCCAGCTGAGATGTTGAATATTTTTGAATGGCAGCTGTGCTTCAGTGACAGTTTGATTCCAAATAAATTTGTCTTTTATTAAAAAAATAAAGGTAGCAACAGTAAGGTTACGGTTGTGGAGTTCAGACAGGCAGTGACAAGCAGTGTCTGATTAACACTGCTAATCTGCCAGTTGGAAGGAATCCCAATTTGAGAGGATCAAAACTCCTCCAGAAATCTGGCACTTGGCTGATAATGTCCCTGGCTAAATGTCTTACAAGGTTTACAAACTCAGTGTGCATACAAGACATGCCTCGAGTTATCTCTCCCAGCCCAGTGTTGCCCAGCTGAGGCTCTTGCTGGCTCTTCTGTATTCCTCTGCAACCTTTACCTTTCAGAATATGCTTATGCCTGGACTGTGGTAGTGATTTCTTACAGATGTTCTTATCTCCATTCCCCACCTTCATGCAGTATTTGCCACATTACTTAAAACAGTTTCTTTTTAGCTATGCTATCTTCCATTAACAGTCCAGTGCAAGGCCTTCTGTTATATTCCTATATACTTTTTTAAGCTAGAGTTTCCTTACAGTCAAAAGCACATATTAGACTTTTATTCTTCTAAATGTGAACCACCTTTGTACTTTTTCTGTGATCAAATTGATACTATGTCCCTTCTGTTTAATGATTGATGCAGAAATGCTCAGGGCTGCAGACACCACTGAGCATTCTGTGGTGAAGAAGAAGCAGAAGAAGAGATCCCAAAAACTTTACAGCTGGATTTTCATTTACAGATGTGTCTGGGGCTGTATGATGGTATTCACATAATTCTGTGTTGAGTATCCTACAGCAACCCCTGATTTGGGAACTGCAGAAAACAAAGAGCAAATTGTCTGATGGCTTTGGCATGTGAGTTGCTTTTGACATATCCATGCCTGTGCATTCAAATGCCATGCCATATTCCCTCTCCACAGACTATTTCTCTGAAGAAATCATAGTTTGTGTCATTTTTTAGGGATGAACACTTAACAATTTTGTAATCATTTCCAGTCTCTGTGAGAGCAGTAGGTGCTGTATTGTTGCATTTTTAGTAGACTTACTAATTCTGATGTGTCCTTTTTTAAATTGTTGATAGCACTTGACAATTCATTAGTAATAAAAACGAGTTGATTAAAGATGATCAATCTTAAAACCTCTTTTATGTGCCATAACTTGACTTGATTGAATCCTGGACTCTGTTAATTGCTGTGACTGAGCTTTCTTGGCATTTTTGTCATTTGATTTCCATAATCTATCCTGGGGCCAGATCATGTTCCCAAATGGGAAATCAGCGTTTAGGCAGGTGGTAGAGAATAGTTTGGTTAATCAATAAACTTCACTCACAAAGTTCCTGCTAATTCTTATGGATGTGGGATAAAGTCACAAACAGACCAGTTCCTTTTCATGTCTCAGTGATTTTGTGTGTTCATGGGCACAAATGCCTGTGCACTGAGATGCCTCAGGCACCAAATTCTGTCCATGTTGAGAGAAGAGAGGGTAGGAATTTCTGGGGGCACTTGATTTTCTCTTGGATTCTTCAGAGCTGACTAGGATGCACATAGATGATTGCCACTTGTTTATAGCATATGTGGCATTTAGTTCTTTTATGCCTTTTTTTAGTGCTGCTGTTCGGGAAATAATGCTTGTGTGTTGTAATCCCTGTCCTTTACACCCAGTAAATTCTGAATGCATTGGCCAATGCTCAGTGAATAGGAAAGCAATAGTTTTCTGAGGTGTTGTGTTCCTAGCCATGGCTGCAGTAAAAGGTGAGTGGAACAGAAGCTGCTAATCATGTAAAAATGGTGGGACATGCTGGCCATCACTCTGTATGTGCTGTGCTTCACCAGGAGGCCCAGTGGCACCCCAGTGATTCCAAGTGGGACAAACTGGGGCTGCCCCATGGGCAGGAGGGGATTGTGGATGTGTTCCATGCTTATGGAACAAGGGAGGCATCCACAGAAATCAGACTACTCCAAAGATTACAGAATGAAGGGTTTTCTTAGTCATACTGTTAAAAAGGAATAGTTATCTGCAGTGTGATTGACTGATTAAACAAAATGTTTTTACAAATGAGATGGCACTACTGAGACTGTTCTCAAACAAGTTTACAAAGTTAGTATTAATGAAACTTCTAGAGCATGACTGAAATTTTTATTGATGCCATATAGCATGGCATGAAAAATCTTTAAAAGTGCTTTTGACAAAAAAAAATGTATTAAAATAAAAGTCAGACCTTAATTGTTGTACAAAAGCAGTGTAATCATCTGTAATTGAATTGTCAGAAATGCAAATGTTAGCATCTTGACATTTACCATTGCTGTTCTGTCTTTTCTAATTATCTTTATTAAAGGCTGAAATTAACAAAGGAAATGGCTGAAAATTAGGAATGGTTTGTTACATTAGGTGACATTTACCTCTTTGATACCCTTTATCTTGAGTTGAAGCTTGATATGCAATTATTGTCTCTCTTCTAGGGAATTGCACCAAAATTGAGATTTTCTACAACCTGCCTTATTTCAGACAGTCTGTTAATCTTAGGAAGGAGTCACATACAGGTTAGCACAATTTAATTGTTGCAGTTTCTAGATTTAATATTGATAGCCTTGCTTCCAATTTTTCCATGTGCTGGTCACTTCAAACTTTCCTCATTCTTTTGTTGTGGTTAAAGCAGGTATCACGGGTGCTTGACAACTTGATTAAATTTTTAATCAAGTATGAGTAAAGAGTGGGTTTGGTGCATGACAGTAGATGCTGAGAGTTCCTTGAATCTGAAACAATTATCAGCTGCTGTGTTCTATGATCAGCTGAAGTGTCAGTCCCTGGTGCATTGGTACATGGGAAGATGCCTTCACATCATTTGTTACTGACACTTAAAATTAAGGACAGTAGAAACTAGGTGTTGTTAGAGAAGGTACATTATTAAACCAAACCAATTAATCTAATTGTTTTCCATAACTATATCACTGACAGTAGTGAAAATGCAGATTTTGTTGAAAAGGCTATATTAATCTCCTATATTAATCTGGAAATGCTGCTTTTGCAGCAAATAAAGTTAAAGGTGAAGTAGCACTCTTCTCTGGTCTCACAGATTGGAATTTTGGTTTGGATTTCTGGAACAAGCTGTCATATAAAGTTACTCTTCCTCCTCCTTTTTTGCTGTAATATTGAAAAATGGTGCAGCATCATTGGAAGAGCATGGTTGTCAGGAAGGCTTGTGTGCAGAGACACTTAGGTGACTTTGACCTGTTGATGGCATTGCTAATGACTTCAATGAGAAGTTTCTTCCAGATTTAGCAAATGAAATGTATCGAGACAGAAGAAGAATTAAAAATCAGTGAAAATTGTCATTGTCAGAAAATTGGCTTCAGTGAAGGTGACTTGAGTAAGGGCAATTTGATTTAAAATTTAAACTGTTCCTAAAAGTATCTATGAATGGCAGCTCAGATTCACTTGTGTTGCAGTTTTACAACTGGTGTAAGTCAGGAGCAGCACCACCTGCTTCTGGTGAAGTTGAGATTAGTCTTAGAGAATTAGGTCTGGCTTTGTGTGGCCAGGTCTGTGCTGTGTCTCACCATCAACTGCACTAGTGAGTTCAGATTCTGTCAATACAAAACAAACACACAGCCTCAGCCTCACTGGCTGGCTGTAGAGGGAAAGCCTTGAAGGCAAGCTGGACATTTTATTTCTGGGTTCCTCTGAACCAAAGCAGCCCATGTAACATTCAGATCTAGGGCTAATGTCAACTAGCTCCAGCTTGAAAAAGAATTTCTGACAGAAAGAGTACGGTTTTTCTCCACTAAACTTTACACTTTAAAAAACTAATAAATTCACCATAATCCAAGAAAGTATTAATTTTAGAGAATGTAGTTGCACTTCTTCTGGAGCTTTAGGCAACTCTAAATGCATATAATTTAAACTATTAAAAAGGCTCCTCTTTTAATTTGTGTCTTGTACTTTAAAGGGGAAGAATTTTAAAATAAAAGCTTAAACAGATGAAAACATGCTTCAAATCTGTGTATGGCTAATTCAGGTAAACTTTGTGAAAAAATTAAATTTAATTTTTAGAATCTCCATTAACTGTGTGAGAAAGCTAATTGAGTAAGTATCAGACATTTAACATCTAGCATGCTGTACTGGGTGTTCAACCTTCTTTTGGTTTCAGAGAAAATGGTGAACACATTATTTTTAAATTGCTGTTTGATTATAGTTTTGTGAGGGGGACGTCAGCTGCCATGGTGAGTCCTTCTGGCAAAATTATTGGTTCCTTGTTTGTGCTGTGTTCAGCGATCTTTTTCCTACACGCTGCCAAATCAGATCATTTCCCTTCTTCACTCCAGACTGACGGGCACTGGGTGCATCATCCAGCCCTAAGTGGAAGAATGCCCTCAAAGCTGGCCAGGAAGAGCCCTCCTTCAGCAGGGCAGAGCTCGGCCCTGCGGAGCTACGAGCAGCCCACCATCGCCTCCAAGTCGCGCTCGCCGTCCCCGTACACCAAGCGCCGCATGTGCGAGCTGTCAGAGGAGGCCAGGCAGAGACTGTCCCACCTGAACCTGGGCCCTCATGAGTTCAGGAGAGACACTGACAAACCTCCCTTTGTCATCAGACGGGTTGGTATTGGCTCCCAGGTGCTTCCAGCTTAAGCTCAGTTGAAATGTTGTTCTTTCACTAAATAGCGCTCCAAAAATTCATTCAGCTGTGAGTTTAGATGAATAATTTTTTCTTCTCCTTAACAGTCTGTCACAGAATGATTTAAATGTAAAATTAACTAAACTAAAATTTCTTTTATCTGCTTTAGTAACAGACAAAGATCAAATTCTTTCATGGAAATCTTGGTTAAATTCTCTGAGGCCCCATTTCTTTTCTTCCAGCACACTAGACAGGATAATAGGTGTATAAATTCGGCTTGGAAGTAATTGATATTAGTATTAAAAATTCCTGAATAAGACTTTAAAGAAAGAGTGTCTAGTCACATTATGAACACTTACACTTCCTCTCTTTCAACTTTTTTTTATGTTGTCATCCTGTGATATTTGGAACACTTCCTTTGCTCAGAGCTACATCTGAAATGCTTTGACTTAGAGTTCATAACATAAGGACTTTTTGCCATACATTAAAAATTGTCTTAAAATTAGGTACTTATTTAAAGAAATTGTGTGTAGCTCTTTTAAAATGAAGGAGCTACATTTCCCAGACACCTGGAGAATCATATATTCATTTTTTCCCCCCCTCTTAATTATTCCTATTGCAACAATTCCCTGATTTTAGAAAATCACTTTGAATTTGTAGGGGCAGAAATGGGATTGTTCCAATTCTATGCTGTGGCATTATGTTTTCTCTACAGTTCTGGGCACTTACCACAACCAGTTAGGTAATCAAGTGGTTAAATAGTTTGCTTCTACCTTATATTTTTACCTAGTATCAGTAATAGTTAATTAATACTATATTGTCAAAGTTTAGAAGTTTTATTCTACATATAGCTACCTTTAAGAAATTCGAAATTGCCTGAATAAGTGATTAATCATTAATCATTCTACTGTTTCTCTCAAATATTTTTCTTTTAACTCCTTTTATTTAATTCTTCTGGTTTTTGATCTATAGGTGAAGTTCACAGTTTAATTATAGTATCATTAACACTGATTATTGATTTTCAATGCTTGGTTATGTTTGTACAAAAAAAGGAGAAAGCTTGTCTCTTAATTCAGCATGTCCTCGCTGTCATGGCCTTTCTAGGCTGAGAATTCTCCTTTTAGGGCATCTTTACTGCTGAGAACTCTTTTGGCCTGGAGATTTTGTGTTATGAAGATCAAAATTGGATTATATTAAATGTAACTTTTTAATTAGGAAGAGATTCAGATCTCTCTTGGTGAGATCTGAGCTGTTTGGAATAAATATGAGATACCAGGAATTGTTTAAAAAGACTGCAGACATTACAGATGAGGGAGGAGCTGTCTGTATTTTCCCTTTCTTTGAACAATAGGATATTCAGAGTTTTCTTGACCTTTCTAGCACTGTTTCTGTTTATGCACAGTAATACTAATAATGCCCATGAGCCAAGTGCTATGAAAATAGTCTAAAATAGTATTTAAATAAAGTAAAATATTGCAGAAAATATCAGTTGTGGTCTTATGAACAAAACTAGAAAAACCAGGGATTGATACATCTGATGCTGAGTATTTTAACAGTGTTTTTGCTTCAGGTTGGACAACCAAGTCCTGGTGCTAAACTTCATTCCTTGTGTTCCCTGCGAGAAAGCACAGCAGAAGCCTGGCCCAAGGCACCCCATGGTCAGTATTTTCTGCTGTACATCTCATAGCTGCTTTTGATTTCTGCAGGAAGCAGCTTTATTTGGGGCTTTTTATTATTATTTTGGGTTTTTTTTATTTATTATGAAAATCTGTGATGGAGAAAAAGCTGTTAGTTCTTCCTAGGAAAAGGAAGAATGCTGAATAAATTACTGCTTCAAAGGGTGCCCTTGAATAGTTCTTTACCTCATGAAGCTTGGAGCATAGTTCTACATTATATGAAAATAGGAAAAAATTACAAAGCTCAGACAAGTGCTCTGTTTCACTCCCTTTTTTGTTGAGTTGGATGGTGGAGAAAATCTGCACCATGGTTTGTGGGTGTGTTGATCAGGCTTGGGGTATTGATTATTTTGAAGTTCAGGGGCTCTGTTCCTTCAAAAATGTGTAATGTTTATTTCAGCAGTATTTGTGAGTAGTGGATCAGTGACTTACCATTATTTATGAGCATCCAGGATGTGCTCCAGTATCTGCTTCAGCATCCTTTGGTATCAGTAAGTGAGAGCTTAATAAAAAGTGTGAGATCAGAAATTTAAGAAAGCGCCCTAAAACTTGATTTTATTGCACATGTCTTACAATATGAGGATTTTAATGAGTCTCATCAGTATTTGTTTATGTGTGCTCTGCCTCATTTTTATTTCATTTCCTCACTAATTATAATTTGTTATACAGCAAATCATTATGAACGTGTTATTTTACATTTGTTCTTTGTCATTGCACTGGGTGCTGGATTTTAAAGGTTTCGCATCCCCTTTGGGAACAGATTTGCCAGTCTGTGATGGCTGGATAATGGAACAGACCAGATCATCTGATACCATTGCACACTTTCAAAATGAGCTGGTGGTTTCTGGCCAATATTTAGGAGACCAAAATCTACCTCTCTTAATATCCAGAGGAGTCTTTGGTCACCTGTCTGTGTCTTGAGGCTTAACTGTAACTTCTGAAAATAACAGATCCTCAGGATTAGAAATCTTAAATGCAGACAGTACACTTTAGTCCCTTTTTGCTTTTCCTGGGTCTCAGTATGAGAGTTGTTCAGTAGAAATTGATAGAACAGACCAAGAAAGTAGATTTAATGTTTGTGAGGACAAAAAGGATGCTTTGTAAAAGATTTCATTTAGGAAATTAAGAAATGCAAATGTGTTTTTGATTTCTTCTGTCATGGACCTTTTTTCCTTCTCCAGATCCTCCTCCTCTCAACAGCTACAGACCCAAGAAAACTGAAGTGAGTACTTGCAAGTGGTTTTCCTTACACTGTTTTTTGGGAAGCTCTGAGCTTCCCAGTCTTCCTTGGATTGTCTTGCATAAGTATTTTTGAAATGTTGTCTACTGTAGTATCAGAAGCAAGAAAAAGGACATTTTAAATCTGATCTAGCCCAGTTAACGCCTGCTGACAGATTATTTACAAACATTAGAAGGAAACTTAGCACTCTTTAAAGATAAAGATGCCTGCACATACAGAATTTGCTTTTCCTTGGCATTAAGGCTTGCAGCAAGGCCATAGAGGAGCCTTTAAAGGCTGTTTGCATTTGCCTTACCAGTTATTCTGAGAGCATTGTTCATTCTGGAAATTTGTGTGAAGGTGGCACTGGTACAACTGGGGAGCCATTGTTGTGCTATTTCACATCCTTTCTTTTTCAGATTTTGGCTTCTTTGTGTATTAAAAGAATCTAAAGATTAATGTCAGGGTTGTTTTGGGGTTGGGATGTTTTATTCTTTATATCCTCACTTAGTTGCTTTTTGCCTGTGTTCCTGAAGTACTGTAAAAATTGTGGGTTTAAGCAGTTATGTGTGCCTTCCTATATTTCCTAATGGCTGGGAAAACTGATGATAATAGGGGGGAGGAAAGATAGGGAATTATGAGGATAAACCTTGATAAATATGTTAAGCACACTTTTGTCAGACTCTAAACTTTTATTACCAAGGGCTGTTGTTCTGTGTATTGTGTGAGTCTAATATATTGTGCAGCCTCTGGATTGTTCCATGGCTTGTTTAGACTCTCAGGCATTATTCTGAATCTGTGGTATTCCTGGGAAGCCTTTATTGGTGCACTCAGAAAAGTTGATAAAAGGGCTGTTGCAGAAGAATTTTACACAAGATGGTGTGTTAGTTACCAACACATTCTTCTGAGACTTGTTGATTTACTTTAGACCATGGATTTTTGTATGAAATGAGGGTCCTTGTTCTTTCCTCAGCAGACAGATACTCCTGAATTAATATAAAATCTTTAACCTTTCAGGTTAAGAAATAAGAATATGAAAATTGTACATCTTGATGTTCGTAATAAATTTTAGTTTGGTGGGGTATTTTTCAGGCAAAATCTACCAGTGGAAAAGGCTTGGACAGTTCTGCTGTTTGCAAGGAGGATGTGAGCCCAGATCCACCCAACAGAGAGTCCCATTCTGCTGCTTCTTTGGAGTGTTCAGCACCTCCAGCAGCTCAGGAGTCTCTGAGTTCTGTGCTGAGTCAATCTTCCCTGAGGGAAAGGTAATGCCCTGGTTTTGTTCATGACATTCTGGAATTAGGAGCATGAGCTGATGATACCAGTGCCTGCATGACTGTATTTGCATGTTTGGAGGTGTGAGGGCCGAAGAGACTGAAAAATCTTCCTGCAACAGCTGTGTTGTTGTTTGATTTTCCTTTTGCTGTGTTTGCCATCACCTCTGCTTGATTACAATCCTAGTAACATGGCAGTGAAAATGTCTGAAGCTGTGACATCCCAAATTTCAGGCTGCCAATGTCCATCTGGAACAAAGAATTAATAAATCATCACTTAAATGAATCATCACTGTTTCAGAGGGGATTGGAATCTCAGGAATGTAAATACAGATATGTAAAAATGGCAAAAAAACTCTACAGTGGGTACTTGGAAACCTTTTTCCATCTGACTTTTCACAGGTGCTTTTGAGCACGCACTTGTGGCTGTGCTGTACTCAGATGTGTGACTGGTGTGCATAACATGCTTGGGCTAGCTTTAATCTACTCAGTGTGTTATTTTCCAATATTTTCACTTTTTTGACGCCCTAAAATCTTGATTTTAATTTTTTTGAGTGGGAATGTGGACCTCTGCAGCTGTTGTGTGTATATTAACTGCTGTATTTCAATTATTTTTCATATCTCTCTCACTGACCCCAGTGGGACTTGTTTGGGGACAGTTTCAAATACCCTTTAATTTAGTGTATTTCAGTCCCTGGGTTAATATTTTGGGCCAGCTTCAGTGTCTTATGAGGGTGGGATGGAAGAAATGTCAAGAATGCAACAGATGGTTTCATGCTTAAGCCCTCCAATCCTTCAAGGAGAGTATTCCCTGCTTCCTGCTGAGTAGAACATGTTCTTGGTACTTCTCTTGTGCATTCAGGTAGCAAGTTACTGGTTGGCTTTCTGGGAACAGAAAAACTGTATGAAAAGCTAGGCCTGAGTAAACAAATAGATAAAATAATTGGGAGAAACTAAGGATTAAACTGATGCCCCATCCTAAATGCTGAGGATGTCCTTTGGTGACCAGTTCACATTCTGTTGCCATTGGTACCAAGTTATTCAATGCTTGCAGGTTGCATTTTACAGCCTACACACAGCCTAATGCTTGTTTCCAAAATAGAAAAACTGTCTCAGTTTTTTCTTTAAAAAGAAAAATGACAGATGGCAGGTGGGGACTGAATTTTTAATACTCACAAAGATCAAGTTGGTGTTTTAACATCTTCCTCTGCTTGAAAACTTGTTTGTTAGTTGTTCTGTGTAATAGTGCATCTTGGAAAGTGTTATACAGAGATTAGGATGTATCTGGGGTTTGAGGGAGGTTTCTTTGTCATCTTGTCTGCCTCCCCACCCTCTTCTGACAGTGTTTGTGCATTAGTTACCCATATCTGGGGAGAGATATTGTCATGGTAACTTTTTTATCCTTTCTTCAGCTGGACTCTTTTTGGGGAGGTTTGGGCTAAATTATATACACATTTATTTAGAGCTGATGGGGTGCCTTCTGTTGATAGCAGGGAAATCTTGTATGTTGTGAGCTGCTGTTACATGCATAGTAATTTAGTCGTCTGCCAGTTAATCTTGACTTGTCTGAATGTTCTTGCTTTTTCTCTTTATGAGCCTTTCTCCAAAAGAGATTTCTGATCTTGTGAAATTATGTTTTTTCTTCTTATTAAAGCAAATGTTCTCAGCTCTTCAGAGCTGTAACATCTCTTTATGTAAAATATGTAACCATTTACTTCTGTCATCAGAAAAAAAATCAAAATGAGAAATAAAGGGCATAGTCTAAAAAAAATTGATCTCTGTTTCATGCTTCTGAGATAACAATGGTTTTAGCTGATTGTGTACTGAGAGTTATACTTGGAATGACAAACATGGTTTAGAGGTCAATGTTTGGAAATGCATGCAAACGCTGCTGTTCAGATCATAGGAATACAGAGGAAATCAGTGCACTGAAAGTAAAGCAGTGTTAGTGTAATTGCAAGAATATGGAGTCTTATCTCACAGTATTTGGTGTTTATTTCCTCAATTTTATTTTGAATTACAAAGACAAATTGCTTAGCATATCCAGGCTACTGTTTTTAATGCTAGTCAACCCACAGTCAATATGAAACTTGACTCCCCACCTCAACCTTTAGTTCCCTCTTTTCCCTTTCTTTTTTAAAATGTAGTGTGAAGTGGCTGGCTGCCTTCTTGGGAGTATGTCCCAGAGCCCTGCTGTGTGGTTGTAAAACCACTGCAATGCTTTTCAGTGAGACAGAAATTGGGGTCTTGTGCAAGGTCCCCTGAGCCTTTTTGTATCCTCCCTGGAAGTTTCCAGTCCTTTTCTTCGAGCCTGCTAGAGACACCACAAATCAATCCTCTTCCCCTTTCCTCTGCGATTTCAGTCAGAAGCAGAACTGTAAATAGATTTACTATTGAACAAGACAGCCAAGTTTTGAATATTGATTTTTCATACTTTCTTTTTACATTTTTCATTATGTACATCTAAGGAAAGCATTTGCTGACGTTGGGAGCTGACGCTCAGCAGTGATGTGGCCATAGAACCCTCCAGAGGTCCCTTCCAGCCCTCACTATTCCATGATGCTGTGGGGTTTCATTGCAGCCCCTGTGCAGACCAGTGGCACTCACAGAGTTGTGAGTGCCCCACAGTGTGCCAAGGCAGTTGTTTGGTTGGTTGTGCAGAGAGGAGCACCCTGGGCATCCTGGAGCATTCACACTCTGTCCTTTCAGTGCTGCTTCAGGAAAGCAAAGCTGGAGTCCAGTCCTTGCTTTCATTGCACAAACATCCTCACACACTCCTAGAAAATGGGGTTTTTCTTGGGGACTTACAAGCTAAGCCTTCCTTGCAGCACTGAAACCTGCAGCAAAGTACCTGTCAGAAAGAAAAGGAGAGAAATAGTGAGATGGATTCCATAAGGTCAAAAAGTCCTTTGAACAGAGCTGTGTGCTGGCACAAGAAAAATCCTTTCCTCAAGAGACTACAACAATCATGGGAGTATTTGACTATTTCTGTTATGTGAGAGGCAAAGCTACTTCTTGTGCATTTGGGATCAAAGGAGTCTTTTTCCTGCTCTGGAAATAGCATGCTTCTACTTTTGTTTCCAGATTGAAGTGCAGTTCGATAGCTTTTTTCATGTTCTCCTGGTTATGCTGCTGAAATGTGATCTTACCTGCTATAAAATTTAACAAAAACCTAAGTTCTCTTTGAAGTGAGACAGAGGTTAAGTGTCTGGATCAGATGCCCTTCTGTAATATTCCTGTATTGTTTTACTACCATCTTTTTATATTCTCATTTTCCTAGTACTAGGGGAAATAACAGCATGAAGTTAGATACTGGTAATGATAGATATAATGACAGATACTAATAGATATTAATGAAATATTAAATCCTATGTGAAGTCCTTGAAAACACCAGTTACCAGAATTTTTGGCTTCAGTGATCTTGAAAACAATCATCCCAGGATCTGGAGGGTTATTTTATTGCACAGCAAAAACCAGAAACAGGTGGTTCACCTGATATTTTAGAGACTGGCATGCATCCTGAGACAGGGTTTGCTTCTGTGAGAGCATATGTTTTAAGTTTTGAGACCTCCTGCTAAAAAGTAGAACACTGAAAAATATTGCAGACTTCTTAGGAAAAAGCTTTCTCTCAGGAGAGGCTGCACCTTGGTTTCCTGCCTGTTTCTAGCCATTTAAAAGTCATTATTTCTGATTTTTGGAATTTTCTTTGGTAGGAAGGTTTGGGGTTTATCAGTCTCACTTCTTGGGAAAGTTTATTTCTTTTGCATCCTTTAAATATTAATTTCTGGAATCAGCACTTGAAAATCAGTTATTTCATGCTAGATTCAATGAAAGTGAGCAATACCCAAGCCTTGTTTCATATTTTTCACCAAAATCTGTACTATTTGTCATCTTCATTGGTTGATTTTGCTGCAGCAGTAAGTAAATCTGAAATTGATTGCTGTCAGAGCCATTTTGTGTATAAATTAATAAATTCAGAGAAGATAGAAGGTAATGGAAAATCTTGCAAAGAGCATAAGGAGGTGCAGCCAATTTGTGACAAACTAATGATTTAGTACCACAATGACTTCAACCTTTTGGGAGCAACTGCTCAGCTGGAGTATTGACTTTCATTGAAATTTCGGAAGCTGGCTGCCATTAAGTTTCACTTTTTACATGATGTATATTTGCCACAGTTTTAAGGGCTGGATATGAAAAGGAGGGGGGAAAAAAGCATTTACTAATTTAAGAACTCAACACTGAATGTGTCTCAAGTGCTTCAAGGCCCATCTATAAATGGGGATTTGAAAGTAAGCGAAGCTACGTAGAAAGCATGAGAAATTTTACATTTTTTTTCATGTCCTGCTGAAGAGGGAGGGCAAATTGGTGCACAGCTAAGCTGTCAGCTTCTGCTTCCAAATATTTAGGCATCTGTGCTCTTGATTTGAGGTCCTGTCTGTGTGTGGTTGTTCTTGCTTTGTAGTAATATCCTGCCGCTGTGAAAGCAGCCACCCTCCCCCAGTTCCAGCATTGTGAGAATGGAGGGGGTTTGTGTTGGTGTAACTTCATTACAATTCAGGCTTCTATGTACAAACAGAGCCTCTGAAACACTTCAGGGCTGCATCATAGCCTTTCACTTTTAAAAAAAGCAAACCAACTTGTGTCCTTGACTAAGTAGACCAGGGAAACCCAGAATCATAGCCCAGCTTTTCTGTTGTGCCTCCTTACAGAGCAGCATGCACTGCAGACCAGGTCCATCCTGCTGAATTACCACCTCATGTCTCTAAAATGAGAGTAAAGCAATGTCCTTCCCTGCTATGAATGCTGAGTAAATACCTGCATAGATATAAAATACATGAGGTGGATTTTTTATTTCAGAGTTAAATATTTTTGGTTTTGTTGAGGTTCTCTCCTGTTCCATGTGTAAATTCTTGCAGATTGTGTTTTTTTTGAGGTTATACTCAGCTTTAAGTGTTCTTACTCCCTCTTTCCCCCAATTACAGCAGTGTTCTCTGCAGTTGTGAATCTGGTATTACAGGACTTCATTGATTTCTGTCCTGTGATGGTTTGTCCTTGTATGTGGCTTTGCTCAGCATGAGGACTGTGTCTTTGAAGCTGATGAATTCTCGTGGAGGCCACATGCACAGAATTGTTCCCAAGGCTGGGGAGTGCTGTGGTGGGGGAAGGGGTCACGAGAGCCACAGCAAATACTCTGCACAAGGTTCTGGCATTAATTCTGCTGATATGAAATGTATTAATATCTCCTGCTGAAATGTGATATTAATGTTTTTGCTATGTGCAAGTGGATGATTGGATTGTCTGACATTTAAAAATTCCTATTTATTACAGCTCTCAAGTTTGCAAGCTGCTGTTTGAGTAGAGTACATGGGTGGATGTATCCTGTTTGCATTTCTAATGGAGTGTTTCATCCTAACGGATAAAATTATACATGAAAATAATCTTTAGCACAAAATCTACACTGTCTGTTTGGCTGCTTCTTTTTTTTTCATCAAGGTAGATGTTGTCTGTATGACCTTAAAAAGATCCTTATCTCATAAAAGAAAATAAATGCCTTTTAGTCACATTACAAGGGAAAATGGTTCTGTTTCCTTGATCGGACTCAACACAACATCTTTGAAATTAATCTTGAAAAGTTCTCTGATTGATCTGGCTTTTTCTAGGTCACTGAGCTATATTTCCAAAGTGTTTATACAATCTATTGGAATCAATAAACAATTTAAACTGATGTAACTGCAGAATGTTTGCAAGTCCCAGGGAAAATTGAAAGTATGACAAAGAATACAGCTGTAGGAGTTTATTTCGTTTATCAGGACAAACAGTCATTGAAATGAAATGACTTTCCTTTGAACACTGCAATATGATAGTGACACCTTAATCACATAAATAAGTAGCTGGTGATTTTAAAGGGTTGTTATTGGTGATTTTGGGCAAATGGAATCCCTGTATTTATAGTCCAAGAAGCTGTGCAATAAAATCTGTTTTATAAAATATTTCCAATAGGAGAGTTAGAATATCATAAAAAGGTTTCACTTCAGATTATAGTTGTTGTGTTTCAGGCATGATTTTATTTTAGTTTGCATTTCAGGCATGATTTTATTTTAGTTGCATTTCAGTTGGCAAATATTAACAGTATTCTTTAAACGTGGATTAGACCCGATAGTTGTTGCTAAAATTAAACAATAAAAATACTAGAAAAGCTAATTAAAAAGAAGCTGATACCATTTTTAATCACACTTAAGGTTTTGGTTTTTTTCTTTTTTTTTCTTTTTTTTTTTTTTTGGTAAATGAAGTTTGGGGGTCTGTGTGAGGAGCCAACATTTGTTATACCACAGCGCACACTAGTGGACTGATCCATAAAATCACCTGGAGAAAGAATTTAATAGTTCTCGAATTAAGTACTTAAATCTTCTTCTTGCAGACATAGCCATGTATTTTCTAACTGAATACAATAGCAATGGGTTTTCTTTTTTTTTCCCAAAAGTAAATACATTTATCTCCAAGGATATTTGTAAATTTACGATTAATAACAATGACCTGAAGTCTTACATACAAATTTCATAAAATTTATTTCCCAAAGGCAATCTATTCCAACTTCTCATAGCAAGCCACCTGAGTGCTGGAAGAACAGCAGCTGCTGTATAAATAAGGGAAAATGCCATGACTTCATGGCTCTATCTTTTATTTGTCAAGTGGGAAATGACTCACTCTTACTGCATCTAGGATGCAGATTTTTAAACATGCATTTCAGAGGTCCTTTAATATCAGTAAATGTTGTAAATTCTAATGGGGAGCCATAAGATGATGGTATCACTGCAGACACTTTCCCTTACCTCTCTTCCTTTAAAAAAAGAAAATGTGGGGGTTTTTTTCATAACACAGGTGGTAGAGCACATGCATTGTAATGCAGTACATCAAATGGGGTTTGTCTGCATTAGGGAAATGAACATTCCTTTCTGCTTAAGGGACTCACACTTCTGTTTCTTTAAAGGCAATGCTTTTCTCCCCTAACAAAATTCTCAAGCCATTTTACTTTCTTTTTCAAGAAGTTAGGTGAAATCTTTTAATGCAACAGATTGCTGGATTCTAGTATGCAAAACAATTGCACAGCATGAATTTGCCATACATGCTCTTGGGTTTGGAATTAATTGTAAAATTCTCAGGACAGTCATTTGAATTCTGTAGTCAGCTTGTTGAAAATTGCTGCTTGTAGTGATCCAAGGATAAATAACAATAAAATCATTAGAAACGTGGGAATACATCCCCTTATAGATTATATGTTATATACTTCCAATATTGTGTCATTTCTTGGCACCCTTTCCTGAAGAAAAATAGAAGCATTTTCAAGTAGGTGAATTGATTTAAAGAAACTCATAAATAAGCTGAAAATACTGGTGCTGTTTTGAACAAAGAGAGAGATATTTTGGACACACAAACAACAATAAGTGAATCCAAATAAGTTGCTTAGATAAAAGAATATAGGAGAAGATTACTCAAAAGCAGAAAACTGGTCACTTTCTAGTTATATTTCTGTCTCTGGTAATAAAAGGAATGATCCAAAAGATTGCAAAGAACTCTCTGCCCTGCCTGCAACCTTCAAGATAATCTGTCACTTCCCACTTTTGGGATCCTGTTTCCATTAATTTTTACATTGCCAGTCTGCTTGTTTTGCACTGAAGCTTTCTCTGTGTACTTGGTTTGTTCTTTTTAGAAGGAGCTGAGCAGTTCCTTGGCTGTATTGAAATTTCTGGAGGTTTGGTGAAGGTGAACTGAGCCAGGCACGATCAGACTGGGGATTTGAGAGTGATAGACTGGATAATGCAGGGAATGTGATAACTGGGAGAGAGGAGGGCAGAAAAGCTGGCAAACTGTGGAATCTCAGCCCTCAGAGTCATGCTGATTCTGCACTGCATCAAATTTGGGAAGCCACCAAAGCCCTTCAGTGCTCCTGGTGCTCCTGCTGCAGGCAGGGGATGGCAGCTCCATGCTGCTGCTGTTCCCAGCTCAGATTGCAGAGCCTGCCCTGCCAGCTCACAGCTCGCCAGTGGCCCGTGCTCACACTGGCATGATGCCACATCAGGAGCTTTTCTGGGTGCCAAGTCAAGCTCTCAGAGCTTGGGCAGCATTGAAATGAAGATGCACAATCTTCATTTGGTGCTCTGTCTCTTTCCAGTGGGATGAGCTTTTGTAAGCAAGCATTTCATAACTTCTCTCCAATTATTCTTCCCTTCTGTTGATGTCTCCCTTTTTAAAAAAATACATTTTTAAATGTAATAACATGGTTGGCATGTAAACAATCATATTCTCAAAATCTTTGTTGCCTCCCTTAAGAGACTGAGAATAATTATTGATAGGAAATTTCTCTCAGTTTCTGAACTTGCTCAGAAGGATGAGCTTCTGAGAAGGATGAGAGGGGCTTTTTTTAGTAAAGTGGAAAAAAGTAATCCAAAACATTACAAGGTAAAATCCAAAAGTTCCTGTTTGGTTTAAATTACTCATACCAAGCAAGCGACCTAGTTTTTAAGAAAAAAAAGCTGCATAGTTTCTTTAGGAAAAAAAACAAACAAACAACCAAACTTAAAATGCAGTTTCTCTTGTGAAATAAAGACTGCAATTGCAAGTTTTTGACTCCATGTGTTTTCCAATTTGCATGCATTGGGGTTACCTTCCTTTTGATTTATTCCAGTGAAAAGAACTTCATGTGTGCAACACTTCCTTTAAAGAGAGGCAAATGAAACCTGATCACTGGGAACAGTGTAGCTTTTTTATTCTGTAGGGGCCACACAAGCATTACAGAAATATTTCTCAAGTTACAAAATCATCAACATTTTCTATGTTTTTCATCTTCTGTTGGTGTTGTGGCTGTTTATGTTTATGCACTGTTTATGCACTGCTTTTCTTTACTTGTACTCCAGAGGAGAAGAATCAGATTGAAACATTGTGTGTGTTCCAAACAGAAGGAGGTAATGCATGCTTCATAATTAAAAGGAAAAAGAAATCTGAATCATACACTTTTTCAACAAGAAAATATTTCTTCACTTTGTTTTTCCTCTTCCTCTTGCAGATTTGGCACTGGTTGGCCTTCACCAGCAAATATTGATGAGATCCATAAAAGAGTGAAAAATATCTTAAGGACACACAGAGCTAGACAGCGCCTCATATTTGTAAGTTTGACTGCAAACTCAATCTTTTCCCTTATCCAAAATGGCTGAAAAAGAGAATTGTGCCTTGGATTTATTATAATGTTGTCCTTTGGGACAGCCTTGATTGTAGAAATATGGATTTGGTGTGTGAGCTCAACTGTTTCACACTGATTTCAGAAGCCTCCTTATCTTTCACCTTTATGAAGTAGTACAGGCAACCCTCTCATGGCTTACTGAGAACAATTATACTGGAGTGTGGGATTTTTTATATTCTGATTCTCCACTCCCAATTTAAGCAAAAAATGTTACAGATGTGTAGAACATCAAGGCTTAACATGTTGTGCAGCTGCACATCAGCAGCTGCATGTATCCAGCTGTTTCTAGAGCTAATATTATTCTTCAGACATGTGATTTTTTTTTTCCCTTAATTATCTGGCTTTCAATGAACAGAGCTCTTTATCTAATGAGATTACACCCAGGAACAGAGTATTTTACCTTTGATGAAATTTTGAGGTGTGGTTTTAGACAGACAAATTTTTTCCTATTGTGATTTTGAGAAACACAGTTTCTCAAAAAAATGCCTGAGCATTGTACCAGCTGAATAAGAAGATTGTTCATCTGCAGAGAATTTAGAATCCTGAGTGTGAGGTGAGGCAAAAGAAAGGTAGGATAAAAAGGTTGTAAGGATGAGAGATGATTATGATACAATGATCATAATGATGATTATGATATAAGATGATGAGGAGCTCTGGCAGTCTAACTCAGAAATGTTATTGATGGGTTAGAAGAGATATAAGTCTCCCAAAGTGGAGAAAGACATCTTTTTTTGCCTCAGTTTCTCTCTTAGAAAATGGAATGTTGATAGAAATATGCTTTTGAATATTGGTACAATTTTAAGTTGCTACTGTCCCCAGCTGTCCACCTTTCCCCTCAGCTGCAGTTCCCTGTATCAGTGGGAGTGGGATAGAAAGTGTGAGATGATGCCCTGATGTCCCCCCCTCACATTTCCCGCAGCAAGGGCAGGTGCAGCTGGCTGGGATGGGGAACTCCACTGGCTGCAGGAAACCCAGGGCAGAAGTGATCTTTGTTGTCTTGATCCAGTCCTGAAAGATGGATTGAAAACATCTGTCTTCACTCTGAAGCCATTTATTTATTTAGTTGTTTGCTTGCTTGTTTATTTATGCCCCCAGATTTAGCCATGTTGGGCAGCTACATTTGCTACATTGTCTCACCTCATTTTCGCTTAATCTGATTATTTTTTCATTTCTGTTCAATGTTCATTTTCAGCTTAGTTGTTGTGGGTTTTGTTTTTAACTCAGGAAGACCTTGTCTCATCCATACTAAGATTGTTTGATCTAGTTCATGCTGTACCTCCCTGAGTTATTATATGAATGTTATGATTTTGTGAGCTGCTGCCTCTCAAATAGAAGATTCCCATGACATTTTTCTGTTTCAGCCACTCAGAATAGGTACAAATCATGTCAAATGCTCCCCTGATGTTTCACTGAAATTTAGATGACAAACTGGATTTCCTGATAGTCCAACACCTACATGTAATGAACATTTGCACAGCCTGAACAATCTGCAGTGGTTCTTGACTGCTTTCCTCAGACAGTAAACCATGACTTTATGATAAGGAGAGTTGGATGATTGGTTACATGGTCTCTCCATACAGTCAAAAAGACTCTGTATACATTGTGGTGGAATTCTTGAATTGTGTTATTTTCTGTTGGCTCTCTCTTGATTCACCTTGTCACTTCCAGAATCAAACACTTGCTGAATCCTCACAGGGATTAATAAGCAGAGATGATACTGTGTCCTCTTCTGTTGGAAAACCTTGTGTTTCTGCCCTAGAAAAATCCGGCTATTAGGGTATTTAATTACCCAGTGTTGGCAAAGGACCATTTTTCTCACTTTTCTTCCACTGAGCAAAAGGAAGGGAAGGATGCTACAGAGAAGTCGTGTGGTGTCAGATAGTTGTATAGAGCTGGCTCATGAAAGCTGTGCTAACAGCAGCTGACCTAATCAAAAAAGAAAAAAAAATATATCCTTGCAGTGAGTGCTTTAAAATACACCAAGATAGGTTGTGCTTCCCCACATGGCCCAAAATCGAGGCTATGGTGTTGCTCAGCAGATGGCTGAGGTAAATTGGTCATCTTGAAAGTGAGGGAGTAGTAAAGCAAGTGTACTGGCAATGTGGTGAGCACATTCTGGCTCCAATCTAGATCTTCTTCAAACTTTGAAAGGTTAAAAAGTACCTCTTATTCTGTTCCACTCCAAAGAGCCTAATACTGAATAACCATTCCCGGAAGCATACAGCTGTGTCTTCCAAAATTTCATTTTCATATTGCTCTGCAAAATAGTGTGACTGGAGCCCTGCTGCAGATTCCTTGGGGTGTCCACTGTACCCTTCTGCTGTGACATTGTGACAGTATTATAATGTTTCCATCCTTTTTTTGCTTTCCAGAACATAATTTGCCTCTGGCAAATGCTGCAGAATTTTATTTTATTTACCACTGTACCCCATTTCCTCCTCAGTGCTTTGTAGTCTGTGACTGCTGAAGGAAGAGAGCTCTCCTGTTTACAAACACACTTATTACCTTGTATTTCACCACAATAAATTCTCTCAGGTTTTTCCTCATCCATATGCTGCTGTTCAGCTTGCTCTGCATCTTATTGCCATCTACCACTATATTTATTGTCTTTTCTCCCAGTTCTGTGTTGCCAGCAAGTGTGATTATTTTTACTGCAGTCTTTTTTCCAAGTATTTCTCCTATAGCATGAAAGATGACTTTGTTTAGTAATCCTTACAGCAATTGACTTGTGCTGAAAGCATCCCTTAATATCACCCCTTAAGCAGGGTCTTTGCACTTCAGAGTAGAGTGAACGTGATTGTGTGTGCTGGAATTTCTACCATCCCATCTCAGGTGAGCAGCTGGCTCCCTCCACATGGGTGTTTTGTTTCTTTCTTACTTAAGAGGGCAAATTTGGGTTAATTAATGTCTAGATAGCATTTGGGAAGTAAAACTGCATTCTAGCAACTGAGAATACCTGACTGAAGGGTCATTAAGTGTATCAGATATTTTTTTAAAGTTCAGTAAGCATGTATTCAACCTTGGATATGAAATTCAAGAATTGAAATGTGTGCAATGCTTCTGCCTTGTAAAACACATGAGATAGATAACATATTATGTTTTAGGTGTTTTTTCCCCTTTCCTGCAAGGAACACAAAAGCAGTAAGTAGTAGGTTTCGTAGCATTTTGCCAATGTGTTTATTGGGGTTTATTGAAGCTTTTGCTGTCTGCATAGTTCTCTAGATCTACACTGTCTAGAAATTCTTTCCAGTTTATTACCTGAAAATTATTAGCTGAATTGTGCTGAACTTAATTAAAAGTGTTCATAAATGGCATTTGGCTCATTACACTTTGTCCCTTTCTCCCCCAAGAAATGTAAGCACTTTAATAGTCCTCTAAATGGAAAGAAAGTATTTTTGAAATGAGATCACTGTAATCAAAAACCAAGGTAATGAGAATTTGATTTCTGGGTTTTTTTAGGATGATTTGCCTCAGACAAGAGAACCTACAGATAATAAGCCCTTAACTGTGAGTGAGCTGCGGAGCAGGTATGGAGTTTTTTTCTGACCAAGCCAAAACAATCATACTCAATATTGCCCTTTACATTTAGCTACAAATTCCTCTTCCCATTTTGTGCTTTGTCCTGTATTGCACAGGGAAAAGGTTTCAGGAGGTGTTACTCATACTAAGCTTTCTCACCTAAAAGCAAAATACACTTAAATTAATTGTGCCTTTGATGTTGTTTGGCACTGTGTCAGTATAGTCTTCATAAAACACTGGGTTTGGAACTGGACTTGGCTATAAAAATGATTCTTGGGCAGATGTTTTTGGAATTTGTCATCCAGAGGGCAAATGTCACTTTTAAAATAATCACTTGGTTATTTTTCCTTTAAAACTATGGGAGTGCAAAAATAAATTTAAGTTTATTTAGTAATATGGTTTGAGGCTCAGCTTTTGGATTGTCCTTTTTTTGTTGTTGTTTTTGGTTTTTTTGGCAAAACAGACATTTGGAAAAGAAAAGCATTTTCCAAAAAATACAGCAAATTTATATGGTATAGTTTAGTGATTCAGCATGCTGTATTTCAGAAGCTTTCTTGGAAACCTGAGATCTTATAAACCTGGTTTTTGTACATTAATTACTCTGTGTGCTCCTCACATACATGACCAGGTTTTAATTTGATGATTTACTTATAAGATACCAATTAAATTGATTTTGATTACTTCTGTAGTAGAAGTTACCAATACTGATGTTCTGTGTGTATGCACACAGTATTTTATACCATGTATTGGATACCTATTGGAGGAAAGATACTAAGTATTGGAAGTCTTTTTTGGGCTCCTATGGCTTTTCTGATTTTCTTTATATTAAGGGAGAAGTCCTAGAACTGTGGTGCTATATTTGAGAGGTGTTGCCATTAGAAAAGGCTTTATTTTGAGAGTTAATTATCACACACTGTTTTCTAGCAATGGCACCCCTAATCACCACTGTATATACCTGAAAGGAGGATATTTCAATATGGGTTCCATAACAAACTTCTTCTTGAAATTTATAAGCTCCAAAAAGTTCATTTCTGATTTGCTGTCTTCTTTAAAAATCCCTGTGATTTGTAATCCCCTCTGTGCAAGGGATTACTCCAACTTCCATATGGTTGTGAAGTTGCTCCTGCAGTTGTGTCTCCTGTACTGTGCTCACTCCTGTATTCTGTGTAGCCTTTCTGCTCCCTTATCCTTTGTCCTGACAGCTGGGGCAATTAAATTGTTTAGGATGTGTTTGTGAGAGAGAAAGTGCAAGTTTTTGTTTTGAGGCAGCTTTGGGACTTGGAGATTTACGCTGAAACTGCAGACCATGAAAAAGAATGGAAAATAAACCTTAATACTCCCGAATCCTGAAGTGATGGGATATGAAGTGTGGCACTTGGGCTGGGAAAGGACTGCTCTTTGTTTAGAGGCCAGCAGCACTGGGGGTGAGACATAAAGGCCTCGAGGACAGTCACATTGCTGAGTGCTTGCCACAGTGCTCATAAACAGGATGCAAGGACAGAGACAGAGTTCATGGGAGGACAGGGTACTGTCGACCAAGTGCTGGCAGTAAAGTGGATGGATGATTGAAAACCGCTGGGAGTAAGGAAAAGGTCTGTGTTTTGTGAAATATTTAGTATATGATTCACTCAGAAAAGAACTTCTGGGACTCTTAAAGGAGATGTATGAGGGAACAAAAGCATATGACAGGTATTTCAGAGCAGGGAGTTGCGTGCAGAAATCCTGCTGTTAATATGATTTGTGAGTGTAATTCCCAGATTGCTTAGCTCAGGTTGTCAGCTGGTTTCCAGTTGAGACAGGAGAGAGAATCTTCCCTACCTTGACTGTAGCTTTGTCCAGGTATCTCATGCACAAGGGGCTGGCTAATGGAAATGCATGAAAACACACAACCTCTCCAAAAAGAGAAGGGGAAATTAAGCCTTTTTACAAGTCTTTTTCAGTACCAGAATAAGGAACTTGTAGAACTTACCGTTGACTTTTGAGTCTTTACTGCAATTAAAGTGTTGAGGTTTGAGTGTCTTGAGGTAAATTCAGCTTTTGGGAGAAGAAAAGCACAAAGCTGCTGCTGGAAATGGATTCCAAGGAAAAGAGTGTCAGAGCTTTTTGTTGTATAGTTACAAGTGCTGTTTCTGCTTGTTGGCCTGAGAATTCTCCATCAGAAGTGAGGTACCACAAACTGCAGGAAGGAGAAGGTGAAACTGCAGTTGTTGATGAGTCCCCAGGGTGCTGACTTGTCTACAGGCCATTTGACACAGGCCTGTATAGCTGCTGTATTGATTTTGGTTGGTAGTTTGGTTTCTTTGTGTCCAAACTGTGAGGCACAATTATCTCAGGATGATAAACAGGTTTAAATTTGCTCCATGCCATTGACTGACTTTAAATGATGGAGCCTGTTTGAATAAGTGTGAACATGGCCTTCCTCTCTTTTTAATGTTGGAGCCATGCAAGAGGTCTTGTTTTGTTTGGTGTAGGTTGGCATCACCCTAATATTTGAATGTAAGAAATTTAAAAGCAAAAGTTGTTCCTTCTGTTTTTTTTCCATGGGACAGTAGAAGCTTAGAGATGTGAATTTAGAAAACTGATCCTACATCTTCCTCTTCTTCCCCTTTTCTGTTCTTCAGATGAAAACCTTGTGTTTTGATGCAGCTGAATACATGTATTCATGGGTGTGGCCTAAGGTTTCTTTCAATTTTGTCATATGTTGGCTGATACTAGCTTGAGGATGAAGTTTTAAATACTGGTTTGATTGCAGAAGACACCACCATTCATAAATGACATGTATATAAGAAGCTGTAAAGCTTCCCTGTGAAATGTAATCCATTTCCTAAGTGAAGATGGTCACCTTAAACTTCACATTTCCAGTTTCATTTCCCAGAGAACATTTGCAAAAGCTGAAGATAACTCAGTCCTAATTTTTAAGTGTCTTAAGTGCCTAAATCTCTGAGCAGATGTGAAAAATGTCATCTCAGTTGTAATTTTTTTCTGATGATTTTTGAGCTTCTTGTTTCATGCTTTATTACAGGGAAATTGCTCATTTAATTATATGACACAAACCTTTGTTTGGAAAGTGTCAAGAGGAAGCAGATAGTCATGATGTTGAGATATAAACTACTCAGACTTGTCAGTGTTTTGTAATGATTTGCAGAGTATAAATTTCACTTCATAGATCTCAGGAATAATTTCTCAAAGCAACTGAAAGATGAGCCTGCATTTGTGTTTAGTATTAAAACAGTGACACAGAAGATGGGGTGGGGAAGGAACCCTGGATTGCCACTATATCAAAATGTAGTTGGTAGAAAACTTAATCCATGATGCTTCCAATAGGGCACTTTACAGCTGCAACCACAGTTATTTAATATCCCCCTGATAGATTGTCTTCATATTGAAATAGCTGCTTGTGGTTACAATTTCACCTTCAAAGAACACAAAAGTCCTACTGTGGTGCTCTTGCCTAGTCACAGAGCCTGCAAAAATACAGCAAAATTACTGCAGGTTCTCTGAAAAGTAATTCTATTTGGGGGCATTACAAAGTGTACTCAGATAAGTGGGGGAGGATTTGTGTGAATGAATAACATTGGGGGGGATGTGGGTGGTTCCCATTTCTTAAAAGTAGCTGCAGTGCAATTTTATTTGGTTTGTGGAAGGTAATCCATGCTCAGCAGCTCTACATTGGTATTTCTGCTGGTTTTGTGCCACTGATTCCTCTTCCATATCTTGCTTTGATCATTGTTTCTTATCTTCTTTCCTCTGACAGTTCTCCAGTGCAGCAGAGCACTCCTGTTCTCCTGGATAGTGGTGAACGTTGGCCTGGTCCTGCAGCTGTGTACAAAGAGAAGCCTCACAGAGCAATCTTGGAGGAGAGTCTTGCAAAAATATATAGAGAGATGTATGAAAAAACTGCTGGTGCTGTTTCAGATCACAAAACACATTCCTGAAAGTAACTCACCTGAAAATGCATAGTATATAGTATTTGAAACTAAACCTATTTTTATACAACAGTATTTGTACTCTATTTTTTAAGCTGTCTTATGGGTAGGCAGGGTTTTGGAGAAATGGGGATTTGGCCTGGGCTGAAAAAAGGAAATAATTACATTTCACTCCCAGAAAAAGAAACAATAATCCCTAACAAAAAAAATCCCCTCTACAATTAAGCAAGATGGTGTTGCTCCTTTGAGACTCTGAGCATAGAGTCATTTGAAGACTAAAATATCTGCTGGACATTCCTGTGTGACATCAACTCAGGTTTTAGCTGCAGCCAGTTCTCATTAAATATCTAAATCTATTTAGCAACTTTAACAGAATTGGTTGAAGAAGCAATATGTCCTGGTGGGCAGAGGGGGGACTCAAAGAGGAAGGTGAATATGTTGGTTTAAAAGTGACCCACCTAGGACAAAGAGAATTGTTTTCCAGGTAATTGCCTTTGAATTATTTTGAAGAATGGCACAAACTTTGGTACTGTAGGATCCATAGGCATGGATTTGAAGTAATTTTGAGCACCTTTAGTCACAAGTCTTCTAATACTGTGAGATTTTAAAAGAAAACCACCCAGCCCAGCAGCCTTTGTGTGAGATGAAAGGTCATCCTCACACAGCCTTTGCATTTGAAAGTTTCCACGTTCTCCTAAACGCAGCCATGACATTTGCCAATACACTTGTCATTTTAAAAATATGAATAAGAAAGAACTGTGCAGGGAGAAAGACCAGAGCTAGTCAGCAAGCTCCTTGTGTTCTGTACAGGCCTCCTGAAATTCCTGCATCACAATCCCACCTAATTTGGAGCCTGTCCTTCCCGGTCTGCTGGGATCCCGTTGGCAGCAATCACTTCGTTTTTGCTAAAGGCCACCAAATGTTCATCAGCAGTTCGATGCTTTCCCCAGGGATGGAACCTTTTCAGCCTTGCACTGAGCAGATCCCACATTAGCAGACCAGGGCAAATTGCCCATCCATTGAAAAGCTGAATGTTTTAAAAGGGCAAGAGTGTCCATCTCCTGCTTCCCCCCAGAATGAGGAAAAAAACAAATGCCTGTTCTGGCTGCCTCCGTCTCTGAGCAAACACAGGCAGCTCCACCGATGCCATTTTACCTGTTGTGATGAGAGAGAGGATAAAGCTAGCAGTACAGATGGCACAACATATGACTGGAACCTGCCAGCATGCCTACATAAACAAAAAGTCAGTCTATTCTGCCTTCCCTCCTTTAATGCTGAGACAACATAATTGATTCGAGAGAGCAGTTGGTGAGCAATTCTGCTGGTGGGAGAGCACGTGGAGGGGCTGTGTGCTGCTGTTTCAGGCAAGGGCACTCTCAGAGGAAGTGTCTCACATACAGACATTTCTATTTCTTGTAACTGTTGGACAAGTTGAAGTGGATTAACACTGATAACTTCCTGTCCCTGCTGCCATTTAGCACATTAGTGCTTTCACAGGGCATTAGTGGCACCCTGTCATGACATGGAGAAGTGCTGAGTCACTCTCTGAGCTACCAGGACACTTTTTATTGCAGAAGGGAAAAGTAGAACTTGCCCAAGCTGTGTCCCTGAAGGCATGGAGGCCATGGACGGTTGTGCTGCCAGCTCCTGGTGTTCACTGCCCTCTCCAGTGACCCCATGTTTGTCCACAAAGGAATAGTTTTCTTCCTGCTCAGAGGAGTGGGTGTATTGAAGTAGATCCTAAATAGGTGGGGCAGATTCTGAGAAATACTTTCCAAGCTTTTGGTGTAAAATTAATCTGGTGAATCCTGAAGGGTTTTGCCGTTTCCTGTATGTCTTTGAGCCATAAGATGCAGTGTTCTCCTGCAGTTTTCATTCAGTATTCTCTGTGCATTCCCTCCCAAGTGTCACAGCTGAGTAAAAGTTAGTCTTCTGAAGATTGGCTGCTCCCCTTTGGCCTGATCTGGCTCCCTGACATAGAAAACCTCTTTGATTTTTCCCTCCCCAGCAATCCAGCAGATTTCAGTCCTGTCTGTTCACTGTGTGAGAAGGCCTGAATGCTGAGGGATTGTTGTGGGGTTTTTCTGTGTGTTTGATGAAGGACACAATTTGCCATGAACTGAGTACACAAGGGGATGAGAAAGGTTGGGGGCCACTATAAAATAGCAAGGTGGTGCTTTCAAAGGGTCCAAGGAATGGCTGGAGGATATCTATTTGATTCCCTAGCTAAAAAAGGAAGCATATGGTAATATGGCAACCTTCAGTTCTCATCAAAGATTAAAAATTTTTCAGCAAAGGTGAAAATTGGATGGGGGAAAAAATGTCATTATTGAATTTTGACCAGTATGAATATTCTCAGTGTGGCCTTCTTCTGCAACATAACATGAAATGGAGCAGACAGACTGAGTTCCTCTGGCCCTGCTCCAGCTGGGAGGGAAATGTGTGTTCAGTGTCTCTCTGAATCAGCTGCTGCAGGAGATGTTCCTCTCCTGGGTCTGGGTCAAAGAGTGTTCTCTTCCAAGCATTGTGCTGGAAATCCAGTTTGGTAAATGGAAAACTTTCCTCTGGAATGTGACTTTGGACCCAAGTTACTCTGATCTGTCCCAATACCTTCAAGGCACTTTGTTTTCAGAGCATTTTCCCTTTCCCTGTTTGCTCAGGTGGCCCTGCCAGCACTCACAGCTCAGAGCATGGCTGCTGCTCTGCCCTGGGAGGAGAGGAGGTTCAGGCACTGAACCAGCACAGCAAAAAGCTCTAATTGTTTCGTGCACCTTGCCTTCTAATACAATTTAAATTCCTTCTGTCAAATGCAAATTTCTAGGTGCCTGAGTGGAGCTTTAAATAGAATTTTCTGTGCTCCTTCCTTATCTTTTGCCATCCACAAAGTTCCAGTGACAGTGGGATGGCATAATTCCACCCCTGTCATTTTAGCTCCTAAAGGAGAGCTGCCTACTCAAATCTGGCAATAATGGGCCAGATGAGGAGTGAATTGGTGCTTTTCTGTGGAGTCTGTGTCTCTCTTGCCCTCCCCAAGTTATTATAACCCACGGGTGTTCTCACCAAAAGCTGTTCAGCATCCAGTGATGCTTGCAGGATGCAATCAGTGCAATATTTTAATCACTTTCAGTTTAGTGAGTCAGACTCTGCTTCCTACTTGCTCCCTTCCATCCCTCCTATGAATAACTTGGTGCAGTTTGGGATCTTGGGCTGGCTTTAGACAAACTGCCTGCCTGTGTTCAGAAGAAATGCAAATCCATCCTTGGCTGACAGCAGCTGCTTTGGAAATCACTAAGCCATTGACCTGATGTGAATTAAAGGCAAAAATGTCAAACTCTTTAATGATTTGCTTTATCTAAGTTTTTGACTTGGAGGAAGAGAAGCTTAAATTGCTCCGCTGAGGATAAGAAGCATAGGGATGGCTGGAGTGATGGGAACAGGTAGGAGCAGCTTTGTGAGATGGATGGGGAACAGTGTTTATGCTCCAAAGCTGAGCAGCTTGGGAAGTGATGGGGGCTGTTCTTCAGACTGTGCATCACATGTTTGAATTTTACTGTTACTTCAGAGGCTGCCAAAATTATCAGGGGAGAAAAAAATCTACCTGGAGATGTTCAGAATCTATTTTTGGGGTAAAATAACAGAACATTTAGCTCGGCTCAGTATTAAATACTCCTTTCCAAACTCCTTCTCATTGTTACCTCAGCTGTAAAATGGGGAGTTTGTGCTCTGTTGAAGCTTAATTAAATGACTGTGAAGTGCTTTGGGATCCTGAGGTGAATGTTAAAGAAATTATTTTATGGAAGCCTGGCTGAAAAGTCCCATCTCATCTCTAGGTTACTAAAAAGGCTTTATTTTAATTTTCCCAGGTTTATTATGTTTTAATCAGACAATTATTAAACAAATCTTAATCAGATTTAATAGATTTCTATCTTGATCAGAGAGGACTAGAAAAGATAATGAGCTGCTTTACTACATGTGCTCTTCGGAGCTAATCTTTGCAGTTGGTATCTTGCTCAGCTTCTGTCTCCTGCATGATCCAGGTTCATATCCTCACACTGATTGCTCTTATGATACCTTTTTTATCTTTTTTAAAATATAAATTATGTTTTTCATCCTGATTCCCTAGTGCTGTTTGCTCTGTGTACTAACCAGCACTGTTAACATCTCTCACATCATTTATCCTCATCCTCTCCCCAGGAACAAAGGGTGCAATGTGACAGTGGGAAATTTTGTGTGGTGTGCCATGGGTTTGTCAGAGAAAGCTGGAAGGAATCTCTGCCTTCCCACTCCATGTATGAGGAATCATTTGGTACATAATTCTGCTCTTCCCAATTTTTAAGCTTGAAATGTTTTCTGAAACACTGAACTATGCAGCAAAATTCTCAGCTTTTTAACAGTAGTCTCTTGCTGCATAAATCTGGTAATGTGGAATCTCTGGGTCACAGGAAAGGCCATGGTGTTAATTACTCCAGTGGTCATGGGAGTGATCATTATCAGGATGCTGAGAATTTCTCATGAGATTTGTTTGGTAATCAAGGAATTTGAGGAAACTCAAATCAATGAAATTGAGCCTCTTGGTGCCAGTGAGAACACTTTAAGCTGGGAGAGGACAGCACTTCTAGGGCTGATCTTGATGAGCTGCCTCCCTGACAGAAGGGGTGTCTGCCTTGGGTGATGTCTCTGGGAGCAGCAGGGAATTGCTCTTTGCCCAGTTCCTTTCAGTTCCAACAAATGCAGCAGCCTTGTGGGAAGTGATTGAAGCCCCCAATATTCCTGTTCCCATTGCACAGGAGCTATTAAGCACAAGCCCCCTTGATTACTGTTGGCTTCTGCTGCTTTCCCCATGGAATTCAAAACATCATCAACCAAAGCCTTTCAAAGATGTGGCTGTGGCTCCTTTTATCAGTGTTGGCTTGCCAAAGGCATGGGGTTTGTTACCATTTTATCTTTGTGAGAAATTCTCTGAAGTGTGGTGATAATTTGTCTGGATGGCAGCATAAAGGAACTGTAATCTTTCTCTGTGCTTGATCTATGTGGAGATTGTGCTTTTTCTTGGTGTGCAT